CTGGGATGGAAAGGGGGTGGGGGTGCTTCAGTGATGATGGTGATGTCATCCTTGCTTTTCCGGCAGAGGAAGACATGAGGTGGAGCATGAAGAGGTTAATCTGTGGCATCAAGTGATGCAGTTTCTGAAGTGTTGTGCTGCTCTTTTATAACTGATTTCTGTTTAGTAAAACAGAATGCCACAACATGTCATATTAAGCTTTGGGGGAAGTTCAGGGGACTGCAACCAATCAATTCCCTTAACAAACAGAATTCTGGCTCAAACAGGAGCACCTGATACAGAATAATACATTATGTCATGCCTCTTCCTGCAGTCCTGCTCTCATGCTGGAAGACTACCAGGGGATTGGGGGTTATTCTTTGCAAAGTACAATACAGGCCACAGAGAGGCATCTCATCCGAGTGGGATGGTGTAACGTGGTGTCCTGCAACAGCGGGGAATTGGACCCGATGGCTTTCTTGGCCCCTTCCACCTCTACTATTCTATGATAGGACCCCGAGGGTATGGAATGGGCTTCCACGGGAGGTTGTTGAGGCCCCATCGGTGAGGGTGTTCAAAGATAGGCTGGACATGCACATGGTGGGCATGTCGTGAGCGGAGCTGGCTGGAGCCGGGAGTCAGACTAGATGGCCTGGGAGACCCCTTCTGACTCGCTCTGTTTCTATGTTTCTATGATTCTAATACACTTCCTGCCCATCAAGGAAAACCCAGCACAACCCTCGTTTATTTACACTGCTTCTAGGATACAACTTTTCCCTACACACACGTGCACATGTACACACCTCTCCAAGGAATACATGGCACAGTTGACGGTACCACTTCAAACCCATGGGCACTGAATGCCACTTGTGGGCTCCTTGCCACCACATATAAGACATCATTGGCAACCAACTAAAATGCAAAACAGCCCCAACTCAGGCTGTGCTTTCCTCTGAGTGTTTTCAGATGGAGAGCAGCATTTGCTTGGGCTGAGCAAGGATGCAGGACTTTTCCACTGCCTCTGCAGAGAGAGCGGCTTTGGCTCTCCCTTGAGGGCTCCTGGCAGCAGCCATTCCTTTGCCTCTCTGAACCGTGCCCAAGCGGGCTGGCTGCTTAAGGACTTTGTAACTAAGAACTGGGGCTCAAGTTATGCCTTCTTCCTTCTCCCTCAAACAACCCTTTTTTATTCTGTGTTTTGAATTTTAGATGGTGAACCATTAAGGCATTTTTTAAAATGACTGAACAGTAAATAGTTCTGGGAGATTTTTAAACGGAAGAGTTGTATAAATATAATCAAAATAAACACACTTTTAAAACATTTTCTCCCATACCTACAGACTTGTTGCAATCCGAAGTGGGACACTCCATCACCTCACGCCCTTGTGCAAACCAGACCTTCTGGCTCAAGAAACAAAGGAAATGAGTGGTCACCATATTCAGTTGCTTAGAAATCCAGGTAGCAACCAGGGACAATCTGAGCCACTGTACATTCTACTTTCCCTATTGCATTAACAAAGATGAACGCTGCAACACAGCGCAGCTGTGAAAAAAGAAAACATTAGATTTCATGGAATTTCAAATAAAGGGGCTTAGATCCAGATGTGATCATGCTTAGTGACAACCCACTGGCATCAACAGGACAGATAAGTCAAGGCTAGATTAAGTCCCACTTATGTCAGTGGGTCTGCTCTAGCCATGGCAAAATCTGGATCCAACTCTGGAGGCATGGGTAGCCCCAGTCTGACACAGCGTTCGCACAGCCCTATAAAGTAAGCTGATCTGGAACATGGGTACAGAAGGAAGATGGAATCTAGCCCTTCCACAGTGTTGTGAGCTATCATGCCTGCTGTAAAGATGCCCAGCTGGAAAGGTTTGTTGAATGCTACCTCTCCAAAATGAAGAGAGAGTTTATGTTAGGCCATGGACTGATGAACTTGGTGAGGAAAGAGATGGAAGAAAAGCAAAGACTGGCCTCATTTCATTTTAGTATAGATGTGTGTGTTTTCCAAGGCTGGATTAGGTGACATCAGTGAGGGCTGGTCTCTCATGGAGGATTGGTGATTAGCTAAGAAGTTGAAATGAAACCTCCATATTAAGTAGCAGTAGCAGTATACTTCAGAGGATTATCTGGCATGGGTTAAAGAGTTATTGCCTCGCTGTTTTATTTCTGTGCTTCCCAAAAAGCTTCTGGATAGCTGTAGTTAGAAACTAAGTCTGACCAAATAGAATTGCCTGATTTGGAAGAGTCTCGTGTGTTTATCACAAAATGGGGGCATTCTGGATTACTTTTGGACACACCTAACTTTTTAAAAACTTGCATTGATTTACCTACCTTTTATACACTGATCACTTACCAGTGTTGGTCTATGTTTATCGACAGCCCAACTAAAGATGGCTAAATCTGTCCATTCGGGTTTATCTTTTTTCCTATCCTATGTTTCAACTAAATGTTGAAGATTGCTCTAAACTTAAATTCAGTTCATCCCAAACATTGAAAATTTATTTTTAAAAGCTCACATAAAACTTCAGAAGCAGTGTTATGCACATTTCTTCTACCACGTGTACTTTGTCTACTATACAAATTTTTAAGAGCCATTTTCCTAATATGCTGTGGTTTTCAGCACTATTTCTCTAATATTTCCATTGCTGAACACAGCTTTCTGATTGGAGATCCCCATTGTCACATTTGGAGATGTTCATATTTTGAAGGTTAACCAAGCTTTGGTTCATGAGGCAGTTTGAAAGTCTGAGGAGAAGGTTGATGTGAGTGAAAAAGCTGCTCGCGGGCACAGGTGCCATCCTATGATAGCCCTGAACTCAGGAGGCTTATGAGCATCCAGTGCAATGTGGGAAGAGTGGCAGAGGCAATCCTGGCCTCCTTGCATCTCCCTTCTACATTTTAGCCAGACGGCCATTTTTGAGGAGAGCGATTGTAGGGTACAAATGATAGCAGAACTGTCTCCTACCTTGGTTCTAGGAATCCATCATCACAGGTGATGTCTAGCGCTCTCCGAAAGAACTCCTCCCTTATTTCTAATCCCAGCAAAGGGAGGAAACTTATGTTGCAGAAAGAGAATGGCAGGAGTGATTCACACAAAGCCAATGCTACATTTGCGCAAGGGCAGAGCTGGGAAAAGGAAGCCTGGTGGCCGACTATGTGGAAAGTACCACAAACTGGACTCTTGGCTGCTCCTAATACGGCAGTCTCAAGCTATTAACTGCCAGTCTCCTGTCTCAGTCAATACAAGACAACGCCATCTCACTTCATCACATAGTTCCCTGACTCAACCATCCCCAAACCCCAAAACAACCCAAAAATACTTCCTGTGTACTTTTCCACCAAAAATGAGGTTTCTCTTTCTTTTGCTTCCACCTCGAGCAGTCCTTCCCAAGCTGGGGGCTGTGAGATGTGTCAGGGTATCGCTTCCATCAGCCCCACTAGTTGGGGATGATAGGACTTGTAATACAACACACATGGAGGCATTGCCAGGTTAGGGAAGGGTGTTCAAGAGGACTGTCTGCCTTTACTGTGGCTATACATGAACGACCAGGTGGCTAGTCTCTAATCCTAAACTATATTGCATCTATCCGAAGCAAGGCCCCCAAAACTACTCTGGATTTGTCTAGCATAAAATAGCTTAGTTCTACTTGCATATGTCAGATTATAATAACTTAAGAGAATCACATTACATTTCCATTTATGCAGGACAACCGTTTTCAAGCAAAATTATCTACCGGGAGGTCAACATAAAGAAATACACGCACACACGAGTGTGTGCGGACACACACACATTTGGCAGATTTCATGGCTGTAGATAAATCAGAATTGCAAGAAAGACTTCTGAAGATGAAAACACTTTAAATCTAGAATTTCCCCCTCAAAGACAATTCATTTTATTTAGTGTCCTATACAGCAAGGCACAAATGTACAAAATTGTGAATGTTAAGTCATTACCCAATGACTTAATTCAATATAGCTCTATTTATCTGTCTGTCTGTCTATTTAAATATATAATATATACACACAATCTTTTTTGCTGACACTTGTTAATACAACAGGACATAAAAGAGTCAAAAACCCCTTTGGAATGTGCTTTGAAACCTATGAGGAGAAATTACACTGTCTGGGGCTTTTAACATAGAAAACAGCTGAGTAAAGTTGGACACAAGTGAGGTGCATAAAATTACGCATCGTGCGGACAAAGCAGTTACAGAGGCTTTCCTCCCTTCTCTCATAACATCAGAACCCAAGAATTTCCCATGAAGATGAATGATGGGAAATTCAGGACGAAAAAAAAGTTACAGAACTTGCTACCACAAGGTGTAGTGATGGCCACCAACTTGGAAGGCTTTAAAAGGAGATTGGACATTGCATGACAAAGGCTATCCATGGCTACTAGTCCTGATGGCTAGGTGCTACCTCCAGCATCAGAGGCAGTTGCTGGAAAGCACAACTGGGAAATGGCTATTGACCTTAGGTTACGGACCTTAGGCTCTGCTTGTGGGCTTCCTGTGGGCGTCTGATTGGCCACTGTGGGAACAGAATGCTGGATCAGAGCCCCTCTGGCCTGCTCCAGCAGGGCACTTCTCACGTTCTTAAGGTAGGTCCTACTTTTTTGGCTGGTTTCTGAACTGCAGTTGAGAACAGGCAAGGTTGGCTGAGAGTCAGCACCCCAAGAGGGTCCCACTGCCATGAGCCCCCTGGACTTGCTCCTTCTCTTCACCAATGCAACCTGCTTACTCACTTGCCTCTCTAGCAGGCCCAAGCAAGGGTGGTGGGGAAAAGAAGGGACAGTACATGCTATTGCTACTTCACTCACTGGGAGCAAGTAGGAGTAAAGATGAGGAGCATTAGCAGCCAGTGGCAAGAGTAATGGGAGGTTGACTTACTGAGGGTGGGTGCCCATTGAGGGTATCTTTTCCACCAAAGCACTGGCAGGAGCAACTATCTCCTGAAGAAGCAGATTTGGGGCACAGAAAACAAAACGCCAAGCTGCTATCTTTTATTATTCTGACTCACTCAGATCAAAGTGGGCTGCTAACAAGTTGTGGAAGGAGCAATAAGCAGTAGACAAGCACCCAGAGGAAAATAATGAAGTAAAAGAGTTCAGGTTGGTCTGCCTGGGAAGTGGTGGCAGGCTCTGGATCCACCTTTTCCGAAGCATCTCTCTTTTCGGCATCTTTTCTCTTCCTACAAAGAACATAAGAGGTAGGTTACAAGCATGGATGGCCCTTGTCCACATATTTTCTCTGCAGAGGCTGGAAACGTAGGAAACTGTTCTATCCAGAGTTAGTCAATTTGGCCCATCTGGTCCTGGACTGTCATCAGGAAGTGGCAGTGGCTCTCCAGGGCTTCAGGCAGGAATTTTCCCATCCCCACCTGGAGATGCTGGGACCATTAGCATGCAAAGCAGGGGCTCAGCCTCTAAGCCATGACCCCCTCCCCTGGTTCGATTGATGAGCATGGAAATGACAAAACCTTGTTTGTGGTTGTGCCTGACTGTGGGACTCTTTCCAAAGAACATTCACCTGGCCCCTTTCTCACCATCCTTTAGGACCCAAGGAAGGCCAATCCTAGCTACTTGGGCTTTGGGGTTGCTAATTAGGTCATTTCAGTTAAATGTGTCTGCATCACAATGCTTCTTTGGCTGATGGAATGTGTAGATGGCTCCAGAAGTAGTGAATTGCTGCTTTCATCAGCTATTGCTGTAGGTGGTGTGCTTTTATGTGGTTGACTGTTGCTGCTTTTGATTGTCAATATGTATTTATATTAAATGAAATTCTGTTAAGTTGCCTTGGATCCGGTCCAGCAGAGAAAGCAGCACATGTCTATTTCAAATACAACAGGCAAATGAATGATGCAATAATGTGAAGAACAATTGCCATTAGTTATATCATGCCAGGCTGCGGGACATTTTACAGAAGTACAATCAGAAAGAGGGGCTGCATTCCTGACAAGCTTAGACTCTAAAGGGCTTGTATGTGCACACAGGAGCAATGGATATGGGAAAAGTGAAACACAGGAATAACAAGAACACAGCAGGCTGGTATTTCTGGCCTCACCCATCTTTGCCTTTGGCTCACCCAAGTTTATCCAAAACTAAATTCTGCCCTTGGATTGAAAGAGGTTTCCAATTCCTGGATGAGTGGCAATGGGGCATGGACAGTGCATTACTCTCGTTCCTTAGTACTCCAATCTTTCTTTGTTTTTAGTTACAAGTTCATATTTTACTTTAAGATAGAAAGTAAAGGAAAACATGCAGAACTAATGCAATCTCTCTGGAGACTGGGTGAGCAGCTTAAGGTCATAGATGCTAACCAATTCATAGCCACATTTTGCTACCATCTTTGAGAACAAGGCTGTTTTTTCAAAGCTTAGTTCTGGTGAAGACAGGTATGCTTGTCCTGAGTGCAGTTAAGGGTGCTATCCAACCAGCCAAATGTTACAGCTCACCATATTAAAAAAAGGAAAAAGTCCCCACCTGATACATGAACTTGTGCTTTCACTTGTAGTCATGCTCTTCTGTACATCTGTGCTGCCACTTCCCTGAAAATATTTAATTCATAAGGCTAACAGCAACATAATTAAGCAGCTCCACCAGCAAAGTACCAGGCACAGACAATAAATGCCATTTTTGTACGTCGAATCAGGATAATCTGATCACACCCATATTGCTCATCTGTGAGGAATGTGTGAATTGCATGGACATTTCATTTTTTACAAGTCTGTGTAAACATTCCAAAATCCAGATCAGTGCAATGCCTTTCTTAGGCCAATTCAAAAGTCACCCAAAATGTGCAAGCTTTTGAGATCTTCAGGTCTCTTCATCAAGCAAGATGAAGAGTTGCATGAAATATGCCTTCCAAAATAGGTCCCTTCCTGGAAGTCAATCCTTGTAGAGCAATTCCTTGCTTCTCCCTTGGCTGGAGGCTCTTTCTTGGTAACTTCTAAAGTGTTCTGAATATGTTGGCTTTTCCAGCCAGCTCCTAAACAACTGGTGCCGCTGAGCCTTCTTCCTAATTGCAACTTCCTTTTGTAAAAATAGTGCAAAGGTCCAGACATTGCTCAGATTGGTCACTTCACTCTGGAATGAGATCCAACCTCCGGGCTTTGGAGGCAGGAAGGAGAGTCTTACCAATTGTCAATAAGGGCAAAGCCACCAGAGTTACAAGGTGCAAAAATACTTAGAGCACAGCTGACGAGTCTGAAAGACTTTCACTGGTAGAGTGACAAGGAGGAAACCTGGGGGATATGGGACTCATCGTGTCTGTATTCAGAATTCCAGTGCAATGAAGAGGCCGGAGTACTACACTTGAACCATTTCTTGAACCCACTCCCACCAGCAACAGTTAACCAAACATGCCTGGAAGGCCAGGAATTTAGCAAAGGGAGAGGCAATCTTATTTTTACACTGGAGTCAAGGGTGACTGAGTCAGTTGAGGGAATTAATGAACGAACAAGAACCATTTGGAATGGGAGAAGTTGTCTCTGTTGTGCTTTCTTCCATTCTGAGGCACTGAATGGCATATGATGGGCGTTTCAAAGCATCTGATGAGTGGTGCTGCTTGTCACTGACATTTTAGGTTATTTTATATGGGGAAGCGGGTATCTTAGCGGATACTTGTTTTTAGATGTTTTAAATTCTGTACTCTCATTTTGTTGTAGGATGCCTTGGGTCTTTTCTGAGAAAGCTGTCTGAGAGTACAACCCTGTGCAAGTCTAAAGGGAAGAAAGGCCAAAGAAGAATGGCTGGCTGGGGTATGCTGGGAATGTAGACCTCTTTTTCTTCTCCCTGAACTTGCACAGGTTGCCCCTTAAAACACTAAATCATCACTGTTATCATCATCACTGAGGGGAAAAATACATTAAGAAAAAGCCATCAAAATCATCATTTTTCTACCCAAGAGCATTAAAAGTTTTCCCTGCACTGATGTCGAGGAAAAAAAATGTGCATTCTGAAGAAGTGAGCACTCTTTTTCCCTTGAGTGCCTGTAATGTGTGTTTTCAGGTACATATCCCTTCATGCACACACTGCAGTGCACCTGAAGATCCGGTGGAGAATTTGCTTGGCACCTGTGCCATCTGCCCCCTCTTGCTGGTAACACCGGGCACACAGGGCCCTTGAACAATGAGAATGGCTTATAGGTCTATCAACAGGCCAGTGGCTTTTGCTTGGACAGGCTGATGCTGCACAACTCAGGAAGGATTTCCCCAAGATTATTGCTTTAAAAGGAGCTGGTTGTAGGGGCAGGGGCTGGTGGCTAAGTGCGCATGCTGGCAGGTATGAGTGGGGAGTGAGGAGAACACCTTTGCATCTGTGAGCCAAGGTGAGGCATTGATCTTCCCTTTCAAAATAAGTATGTGTCTTGGCATGTTTTTCCATGGGAGTTTGGAGATTTCACTGCAGTTTTTCAATTTGTCTTCACTGTACCAATTCTGTTAAAACATCAAGCTACAATTCCATGACCATTTACCTGGGAATAAACACCACTGAACTCGATGGGACTTGCTTCCAAGTAAAGATTGGAACAAGTTTAGCATATGATTTATGAATCTTTAAGCAGAAGCACCTTGTGGAAGATGTGCCTAGAAGATCAGGGAAGGTTTAGGGAGAGTTCTAGAAGACGGCCTCCCCCCACACTCTCTCTCTCTCTGGGGTGTGTGTCATTTTCCAATGTTTCCATGAGTTGCCATTTCAATTTGCAAATGATGCTGCCCTGGCCCAATCCCAATGAGATTAGTTCAAACTAATGTGTTGCGCTAGTTTCAGAAGATATATAATTTCCCCGTGTTGTTGTGCTTCTTCCTTTAGGAGCAACACCAGGAAATCCACTCTCTCCTCATCTGGTCACCTATTCACCCTTGGCCAAAATACTCCTCTAGGCAGTCTGTTCTTCCTCAACACACGAGAGTGGCTCAGGCGTGAAACCAGGGCCCCTCATCCTACCTCCCTTGGTTCCTGAAGTTACCTGATATGTGTCACTCTCCTCATTTCTTCAGCCATTTCTCCACTGCCTGGTAAACTATGACCCCATGCTCTGCCACCAGTGTTATGTAGCTTTCTGTTTGCTCCAGCTGAACACCAGGTAGATTATTTTTCACCGATCCAATTTAGGAACACAACAGATGTTTCATTTGTTCTTCTGTTTACACAGACCAGGCCTTTCTCTCCTGCCATCACCACCCCAATTCTTCCTTCAGGCCTCGCATCTGGAAAAGGTCACACTACAGAGAGCACCTGACTGCTAGAGCTCTCCTTGGCATTCTGGATCATAGGCACATCTCCCACTAGGGCCAAAGAGTGACTTCCTTCCACTATTTATTTGGAAATATGTCCCACTGAATTCAGTGGGGCTTACTCCTAAATAAATGGATACAGAATCATACCCTTAAAATACTATTGGTATTTTATATGCTAAAATATGTTTATAAATCCCTTGTTACCCAACCAGAATTATTTAAAGCCATGCTAGCCCAACCTTATCTTGGATCAGGAGGAGTGCATGCAAATGACAAAACGAAGACGAGAACTTACCTGACTGGTTGAATCAGGGGTGTATCTTTGGGAAACAACATTGGGATCACTATGGCTTATCCTGCAAAAGATGATTGAAACAGTGATTAAATGAGGTGTGATTTGAAAGATGGCCTGGCGCCAATAGCTTGGCACAGCGTCCTGAAAAACAGCTGTTCCATGCCTAGGGATGATTGGAGGCTTCTCGGAAGACATACATCTCTTGCATATAGATATATAGATCCAGTGAAGTTGCATGCTTCTCCATGCAAGTTCCAGGCCACCATATTATTCATATATGTATCTGGTGTAGTCCAGATTCTCAATCTTCTGTGCAACTAGAACTCCCATTTACCACCATCTAATAGAATCATACAGTTGGAAGAGACCCAGGCCATCAGGAACAACTGCATGCTCAGTGCAGGACTCAAGCCACCCATCCAGATTTCTACCAAACCCAACCCTACCCTACCCAACCCAACCCCTAAGCTTCCAAGATTAGGCAGGGTCAGGCACCTCAATCTATATGAAAGCTACATAATAGTGGCAGCGCAAGTTCATATGATGTTGCAGAGCAACCATGGGTCCTGGATAGACAGTGCCACAACTCCCAAGTTTATATATGCACTAATGATGGAGTGGACATATGCCATTGCCTATCCGTCTTCCTCCCCATGTAATGAGACTGAACAGATCTTTAGAAGATTTTAGGAAGGAAGGAGAATGACATTAAGTGCCACAGGATGATATGAAGTGTCCTCAAAACAGGTAATAGGCTTACAGCACATGAAACAGGAAAGGGAGTAGATGACCTGTTGGAAGGCCTGGGAAACTTTGCTGGGTGAAACGTAATTTATTGGAAGTGAGCTAATACGATGGTGGGAAAAATAGGAAGGGGACACAGAGACTTGAATCCCAAAAGCTAGCTTGAGTCCACCCACCGTGCAAATAAGGTTTACCTGGTTTGGTTCCATGTAATGAGCTACTGGAGCACATGTTCATAATCTCACACTGAGCTTCAAGTCCAGTAAGTCTCTCTCTATACAGTTCAAGCTGACTGCCTTATATAACCTCTGACTGAGAAGAAGCATGAGCCACGAAGCTCATCAACTTTCCAATTTCAAATTGCATTTGTGGAAAACCAGCTGGTCTACCACTTAGCTTGAAAAGTGTGCATGAAATTTAAGTCAGTGAAATCATATTGCAGATCAGAACCTCCCCAACCTGGTGAACTTCAGATACTTTGGACCACAAGTCCCACCCTTCCTGACCTTTGGCCATGTGGGCAGGAGCTGATGGGAGCTGAAGCCCAAAACCTCTGGGGATGGCTGTTGTATATCTCCAGCAACCAGGGTGGGGATGGGGTATATCTCAGGGTGGGGTATATCTCCAGCAAATATATATCTGTATATCTCCAGCAACCAGGGTGGGGATGGCTGTTGAATATCTCCAGCAAATGAGCTCACTGGATTTTAGAACCAGCCTGCACAACTTGTGGCTCACTAAGCAAAACAGATCCACTTTCAGTCAAAGAAGGTGGGTTACTGGGGACCACCTCCGGAACTGATAGCAGCTAGCAGGCCAACATGCTGCACTTGGCTTGGTGTATCACAACTGTGCAGATCCTGCTGCAGACACTGAAGTATCATGCTTCTGAGGAGAATTCCAGAGCCCCAGTCCTAGATAGCCAGACCAAAGGACAGGAAGGAGTATGCATACAGCAAGGACTTACCTGCCTTTTCAGTGCAACTGAAGTGGCCAAACAGGTAAGCCAGTTTTTTAAATGAGTATGGCTCATCTATTTTCATAGGCAATCAGCTGCCATCAGAGCATGCAAGAACTGCTCAGCCCCATTGATTTCAGTGGGGGAGTAAAGCATGCACTCAGTTAAATCTCCGCTGTTGAAATCGGCAGGACCCAAAACACTTCCAATTTTGCTGCAACCCATCTTACCCAAGTGCATCTGGCTGCAGGGGCACTTCTCTGTCTAGGACTACAGCCAAGAAGACCAATAAAACAGAAGACATGGCAAGCAAACAAGCTGTCTGGAAACTGGGCAAAGAAAAGTGGCAAGATGGGTTTCATAGTCAGCAATAAATCAATCAGTTGAACAAACAAACACAACAGAAAGCACCTTGAAAGTCCCTGGTGATCTGTGGACTCTTCTTCTAGCTTATCTAGGAACCAGGTAGAGCCAGCTTTTATATTTGGGGCATTTTCTCCTTGGAAAATTGCCTTATTCTTCCTTTTTTCTTTCTTTTTACTTCTTTCTTCTGGCACTTTCCTTTCTTCAGCTGTAGTATCAAATTGGTTTACTACAATCTATTAAAAATATGTTTAAAACTTCGTTAAAATTCCAGACTTTGCTCCCATTTCCCAAGATCCTCCAATTACAAATATAACCACTAAACTTTCTTTTTTTGGCAAGCTGCATTTAGTGTGTGTGTGTGTGTGTGTGTGTGTGTGTGTGTGTGTGTGTTGGGAGGATTTCTATCCTGTTTTCTGAAAAGTGAAGATACCCAAAGCAGCTAACAGGATGAAGTAAAAAACTAGGAAATAAAAAGTTCAAAACAAAAAAACTAATTAAACATACCAAAGACAGAAATAAACATTAAAATAAACATTAAAAACAATATGCCCCCAAAAGAACTGCAATTAAATAACAAAACTCTATGTTGTTTAATACACAGACAACTCAAATAGCTGATTGGAAAAAAAGCATTTTCAGGTGGCAATGGAAAAATGGTAAAGTAGGAGAAAAATTAACTTTCCGAGGGCAGGGGGTTTAACGTAATAGTCATTTCAACTGAAAAAGCTGCTCGTATGACCCTTCCAACCACAGGGAAGGGTTATATTAAATGACATTGTAAATGAAAAGGAGGTAGGCAAAAGCTGATGCAGAGTTACATCTGCTAATTTACAGGTAGAGAGGCAATTGGAGAAACAGTGTCTTTCGAAATACAGTACATATACTGTAGTTCAGAAGGCCTGGTGAGGTGACCTGGGCATCCGCTGCTCAGTCTGCTGTCCAGAACTGATGAGCAGCCTCAAGGCCACTAGGTACTCTTCATATGGTTCTTTATCTTTAAACTACACTTGTGGACCGAGTAGCCGTCCAAGCAGAGAGGATTTGGGCAGGAGCTTTTGCAGCCCTACCCGGAGAAGCCAGGACAGCACCTGAGACCTTTGGCATGCAAAGCAGGTGCCTTCCACTAAGTTGCTGTCCCTCCTCATAACATTGCATGGAGATGGACGCATGGTTCTGCTGATCCCCAGACAAGCTGGACCAGGCAGGGGAGAACAGGTTACGTGTCCTTAAGCTGGTAGCTCTTTCCAAAATGAAGAATTGTATAGAGTGCCACAGCCAAGGCTCTTCCAAAGATAACAAAAGGACGGGGGAAACTTGCACTATTGTTCCAAGTATTTTGTTTATTTATAGAGTTCATTTATTAATTTCTATACTGCCCGTTAGCCAGAACAGCTCTCTGGGTTAGTTTGGGGGGTTGCTTTACATTATAAAGGTGTATAGTGTAAACGTGTAGTGTGTGAGTATGATAAGCAAGCATTTGAAACTGAGGGTATCGGAGAGATGCTTTGCTTGCCACAAAAGCCAGGACTACCAGTCTCCTGTGGAGGGTACACCTGATGGAAACCTGAGTGTGTTGCTGAGTGATGAGCGAAGAAGCCCTCAGAATCCAATGCATTTTCACAGAACTAATGCATCCAATTATTTGACCGGATTATATACTGCTGTCCACTTTCCCAAAAACAAGGAAACAAGTCTACATGTACCTACTAAACCACTTGGATTAATATCAGCAGTGCCCAAATTCAGGGAAAATTTATGGAGATTCTGCCCTCTTCCTCAAACCCAGCTGACATCTGGGCAATACATGAAGCCTAGGGGACTCGACCTCCAAATAATCATTTGCATTTAGATTATGCCTTCAGCAGGTCAGGTCTGGTCTGGTCAGGTCAGGTCTGGTCAGGGAATGTCATAGCCTTTCCAAGCTTGGATGACCACCAGATGTTTCTGATTACAGCCTTCAGCATTCCTGACCACTGACCATGTTAGGAGACCATGATGGAAATTGAAATTCAAAACATCTGGAAGGGGCAAGGTTGGGAAGGCTGATATGCTACTTGAAAATTCTGTGCTGCCCCAAAGGCTCCCTATCTAACCTACACCAACTCCTGCCACAAGAGAACCACCACAAGGGAACCACCAGTCCACCCACAAATCAACAGACGTCTCATGAATGGAAGACCTGGGCTTAGTCCCAAACATTTAAATCCAATTGATATACCACCAAAGAAGACATCTTGACAGCAGCATGGACTTGAAATGTACAATGCCATTCCTTAAAGGTACCTGAAAGCAGCAGGGGTCAACTGAAGAGAACAAACAGTGAATTAAACTTTTCTGAAACCAGAAAAGGCATAGCATGAAAACTGACATCATCCAGGGATCATTTTGAGCAAGAAAACAAGTAATGCAAGAACTTTACCATAGGGACATCTGGGTGAGCAGTATCCTTCTGAAGAGAGATTGCATGGCTGGTTACTTTAGATGGCACCTTCTTTCCTATTACAGTGGCCTTGTTAAGGGAAGCCTTGGTATGGTTATGGATAATTTTCTTCTGTTTTTCCAGGTCTTTCTCATCCATCTGGGTGGGTGCAACCTTCATACTGACTAGTGGGCTTGGCTTTTGAATATCCTCCTCAGTGTTTTGGCCAAGCAGTTCTTTCTTAGCCAAACAATTCTCTAGAAGTTCAGTGCATATTTTGTTGTTTTCTGAAAGGGAAGAGTTGGGATCTGAAGTAGCAAAGGCATCCAACACTGCTGATATGGGGACATTATAATGTGGATAATAGAAGAGGTCATGGGGGATTATAGAAACTTTAGAAGAATTTGATGCTATCTTAGCCTCTGATCCATCTTCACTGGTGACATCAAAGCTTTTGGGAGTGTTTCTAATTGGCCAGTGTTCAGATGGGCCAGATGCTTCAGAGCTATCTTCCAGAGTGGGTCCATCAATTTCCTTTTCCTTCACATCAGACACTTCTTTTGCATATTCATCCTTTTCGGCAAGATTAGATATTTCCTCGTGCAGCATGTGCAATACATGTTTCTGCACAGTGTCTTCCTCTTGAGAGTCTGAAGTTGGATACTCAAGCTCGTTTGATAGGTGTTCTGGTACACTTGGTGGATGTGAAGTCCAAGGCAAGGAGAAAGCATTTCTGTCAAGTGATTCTTCTGTTACACCAGTTGGCTTCTGCACATTAAATTCTTTAGCATCAATTGGATCAGGAGAATGGCTGCGATACATAAGAATAGTCGGTGGATGGTCATTTTGCTTCAGTGAATCACCTTTGCTAACTTGATCCCCTTCAGATCTGCCTGCATCATTGGCAGGAACGTTAGTAACAGAACAGGACTGCAACCCAAGGGGCTCCGTTATTGGCAATGTGTTGGGACGCTGGGGTTGTTCTGCAAAAGTCTCTGGAGGACCAAATTGCAGCTGATGGTGATTGTCATGAAGGTCTTCATTGGCCATATGAAAATTCTGGTTCTTCTGATTGAGAAGTGAACCAGGAACATGGATTTTGGTGGGTGGGGACTGGCTTCTGTCCAGGTGAGACATGTAAGTGTGCTGTCCATTTTCATTCAGAATTAAAACCTTTCCTTGTTTTTCTTCCACTGATGTCTCTTTGACGTGAACGTACGTAGATTCAACTGGAAATTCTTTGTCCGCATCTGCAAAATCTTCCTAAAGGATATTAAATAATAATAATGAATGAGGAGTGGTGGTAATTGTAAGACAAATGTTGAAACAAGTATTCCATGCTTCCACTAAGCTAGGCAAACATTGCCATCAATAAACATATGAGGTTCTGGCCAAGAAAATTCTTGTAATTCAGTTACTCGCAAAATAGATAGATTAGAATTTAGGATTATGACCAACACACATGTAGATCAACATAATTAGAGAGGCCTGAGATGCTGTTTCGATGCTTCTGACTCTTGCGGTTCAGATGAACAAGGAGTTTGAGTCAAGCTTTCCTCAATCTCAAAGCCTCCAAGTTGGATTACAACTTCCAGCATCCCTTATCCACCCATGCGAGCTGAAGGATGGTGGAAACTGTAGTTCAACACATGCGGAGGGCACCAGACCGAGGAAGCTTGAGTTAGTCTGTGTTGCTTGTTTTCCAGCATATATGGCTGACAGGGACCAACATGGGCTGTGCAACCCACACTGGGCAACTATCCATCTATCTATCTATCGAAAATATTTCCACCCCATCCTTCCCAATAAAATGTCTCAGGATGGCTTACAACCATTAAAATAGAATACAATAATACAATAATTAAAACAATAAATGAGAACTGGGCTTTGAGGCTGGGCACCAGGCAGAAGCCTGGATAAAATGTATGCCATTCTCAAATGGATCCCTCCGTATTCTGAGCCAGTATACTTCTAATTTTGAAGGAATGGTGCTGGGGAATATGATTCATTTGCTTTTATATTCATACTATTTTAAAGGCAGGAAACAATATCATTTGGAGATTCTTATTTATTTCTTTGTTATCAGTCCTTAATATAGTAACATCTTTCAGTGGTTACTTAGAAAAATACTCAAAATCTCCGCTACACTAGACATAGAATTCAATGTAACAGCAAAACATTTCAACTTTCAACAAGTACTGTTTGGAAAAAAAGACACCAAAAAGAGACAGTAAAAAAGAGCTGAACCATAGCAGACAATTATAAGCCAGGGAAAGCATCTGTGAACAGGTGTGATCACTTGCTCATACCAGAGTGTAGGACACAGAATAACAATGCAAGTTGCGATAAACCAGATTCCAGCTAGATAGCAGGAAAAGCTTCCTCACCATCACAGCAATACAACAGTGGAACCAGGTTCCTAGAGAGGTGGTGGGCTCTCCCGCAATAGAGACATTCCAAGAGAAACTGAACAGCCATCTGAGTGGGGTGGTATAACTTGGTCATCTTCTTGGCCCCTTCCAATTCTACTATTCTATGATTCTATGTTTTCAGAAGATCCATTTCAGAGATGCCACACGTTCTTCCTCCCAAGCCAAACACTGGGAACGTGTGTCAGAGCAATCACCCAGGCAAACGAAAACACCAAATGAAGTCAGATTCACTTCAGATGCTTAAAAAACAAAAATATGTGTACATCAGGCCAAGGTGGCCATGTTGAAAAGTTAACACCTGTAGCTGGCAAGCTAAAGAACAATGCTGCAAGGGTAGAAAAGTCTGGCAATCAATAAACCTTGGCTTCTAAATCCATACTGAATGACATTATTGCAAAGCATCCATAAGAGCAGCAGGGTGTCATTGCCTTGAGTGAATAAAAGAGCTGGAAAGTGAGGGGAAGGAAAAAGCATACCCCTTCCAGTTCCGGGAAGTGCTCCAAAAACTGTGCCACGTAGGTCATAATGGACTGTTCATCAGGTGAGTCAACCATGATGTCTGTGGACCACACAAAATATTGTCTCATTATCTAACATTTATAAAAGAGGCAATGAAGCAAGCGTACTGCACAAAATAGTGCTTTGGCTAGGATTTGGAATGCAGAAGTAAAAATGTACCTTTATGTATTATGTTATTCTTAATGATACATTATGATGCTTCTGTGTTCTTTTCCAGGCACAAAAAGACCTTTTTATTTTACCAACTGGCATAGTCTGAAGATTCCTCTATGTACTAGTGCTTCACCAAAAACGGTGAATATGGATGGTTTTCTTTCCTGAAATTCTTCATCCCACTAAAGAGAAGTCTTGGTCTAGCATGGTATTTTCTGACAAGAGTCCTTCAGTTTTGTTCCACAATTTCTATCACCCTTGGTCAACGTGGCTAATAGCCCACACATCTGGAGGGCAACAAGTTGCTTGTTTAGCAGCGTTGTTTAAAGGAAGAAAGTCCTAAAGTAAGGGCCAATTCATCTGTCCAACATCTGAAACAATAGATTAAATCCAGTAATGCTCTACTAATTGCAGAAGGGTTATTGATCTTCTGCTTATGTGGAAGGGCAGAAGAAACAATATTCACCTATTGCTTCTCCTACTTGCCTTCAGAAAATATTCTGGAGGGTTGGAGAACCCCTCTAGGACAGCACGGGAGATGGCACAAAGAAATGCAGGGAGAACTGGCAGAGGTCTGTACTAGGTTATACACTATCATTTGCAGAACGGCTCAGCCTGGTAGCATGGAATAGACATGGCAGACACAAAGCAGATGTACACTAGAGAACACCATGCACCCCATTTCCATGAACCTTTATGCCGCAAGATGAAAAGATGGTGAAAACTGGGCCTTTGCAGATAGGAATATATGCTTCGTGCACACAGAAATATATGCTTCGTGCTCACAGAATATATGCACAGAAATATATGCTTCGTGCTCACAGAAAACACAGGAAGCCGATGCAGAGCAGCATCAAGAAACACAAGAAGAAAGTTTGGAACAACATGGCACTGCAGCAAGTATTGTATCAATCAGTTTCTCAAAGTCTTGAGTTCCCAAGGAGTATGGTAAACATCTGGCACAGGGATGCATTATCAGAACATGGCTCATTTTCTAGTCATCCCTCTTCTTTAGGAAAGCAAAGCCATTCATCCATTTGAACATTACAACAGTGAGTGCCAAAGCAGAATTCCACATCCCCCATTTTTGGAACAACCTCCCAATTGCAGTGTACCTGGTACCAAATTTGTCATCTTTTCAGAGCCAAGTCAAGACAGCCCTCTTTGCAGAGGCCTTTAAATCACTCCTTGGTTATCCAGAGGCCTGAGGGGATTATCCCGGTGATTCTTCTTGTGGGGCATTTTAATTGTTTTTTTTACTGCATTTTAAGTTATGTTAAACATTTTCAACATTGTCATTTTTATGTAATTTGTATCATATTTTATTGTTTTGATTTGTACATTGTTGTAAACTGCCCAGAGAGGCAGTATAGAAATGAAATAAATTATTGTTGTTGTTACGTATTAAATGCCTCTAGCTTATTTTTTATTTATTTTCAAATGTATAGGCTGATGAATAACCTCTAAAGGTTCTCTGTGCAGCTAACAACAATAAAACTGGCCAACAGTACAATTACAAGTAAAGGGGAAAGGAGCAGGGAGGGCCTGTTGGGTGTAGAGTGAGCTTTTACAATCAGGTGTTAAAGCCAGGTTTTGAAAAACTTTTGAAAGGGGACAGTTTTTGCCTGGCACCCAAATAACTGCAGTGATGGTACCAGGTGGTTCTCTTTCGGAAGCCCATTCCAAAGGTGGGGACAACCACTGAGGAGACTGTTCTAATGTCAAGGCAGACAATTCAACCCTTCTTAGGGGAAGGGTCTTAGCCATTAGAGGAACAGAACCAGGGCTCACAGTGTGAAAATGCCAAGGTTTTCAAACTGTCAAGGATAATGAAGTCACCTGCTACCTCTCACAAGCTTCGCTTTTCCCTTTCAGTTTAGTTGCAATCCTCACAGTCAATGTGCACATATGGGGCAGGGAAGGGGGAGGAATGTTCCAGCTACAGTATATGTCACTGTGAGCTGTCCTGTGTGTAATGCAGATAATTTTGAGAGTGGCTTGACTCCAAGTGAGCAACTAAGAACCATGAGCTTTACAATGACCTGCTCCTCCTAGAAATGAAGTCTGCTAGAACTAGTTGGTTGACTTAAAAGATAAATGTTTTTTTGCCTGATGCTGGAAAAAGAAACCCCTGGAAAATCTTGAGCTGCCATGTGGGTATAAATATGAGCATATATCACAGACATACATTTAGTTATGGAACAGCACATTTTTGAAATCTTGGTGATGTAGCTTGGGACTGTTATGGTGGGTTTCTGCCCTTCAAAGTTTACCACTACTTATCACTAGTGGTAAGAATACAGTGGTACCTCAGCTCACGAATGCCTTGGTTCACGAACAAATCAGGTCACGAACAAAAATTTCTGAAAAGTTTTGACTTGGGTTGCGAACACCACTTTGGGTGGCAACCAAGATCGCAGCCATCTCTGCCCCCCCCCCCCCAAGTGGGGAGATGGCCATGATCGCAGTTCTGTTCATGCAGGGAAGGCGTGCGTGATCAGAGGCGCGCTCCTGCTGGAAAGATGGGCTCGGGCTCGGCCATCTCCCCATCCCCAACCAGTACAATCGTGGCCATCTCCCCACCCCCGAGTGGGGAGATGGCCGCGATCGTGCTGGGGGCGGCGGGGGGGGGTGATGGCTGAGATTGCACCCATCTCTCCCTCCCCCAGAGCACCGTTTGTGCCCGTCTCTTCCTCCCCCAGTACGCCCGCTATCACGCCCATCTCTGCCCCACACCCCCCAGCACGCCGGGATGACAGGCACGATCTCAGTCGTACTGGGGGGAGGGCAGGGAGATGGCTGCGATCTTTGTTGTTGTCACTTTGCTCCACATTTTTCTGATTTAAAAAATGGTTACAGAACGGATTAACCTTATTTACATTGAACTTTATGGGGAAATTTAACTTGGCTCACGACCAATTTGGGTCACGACCAGAGTCCTGGAACGGATTAAGTTCATGAGCCAAGGTACCACTGTATATGCTAGGGTCAGCACTTTTAAGTCATTGCACTGTGACTTCTTAGGTTTGCAAAACCAGTATGCATGCAGAAGACATTCTAATAGGAAGTTACCTTCTGGCTCTAGAAGTCTTGGTATGCCCAGATGATCTTGTGCTATACCAAACGCATCCTCTAAATTTTCCCGGGATGATTTCTCCAAAGCTTGCTTCATGTCTACTAAGTCAGAATCTATTGCTTTGATTATAGCCAAGAAAGCAAGGCCACTTCGCCAACTGCTGGCAAAGTCCTGAACTGCAACACCATACCTAAAGACAGGAGTGGCAAAGACAGAGGCTTTCTGAAAATCCATGCAGAGAACACATAGAGAACCACATCTAAACCCTTTGCAATATGAAATATTTCTATATTACTGCTGTTAGCTTCCCAGCTTCAGAAACTGCATCACATATACTCTTCATGAAACCAACCAAAAGGTATTGTGCAGCCTTTGCCCTCCTGAATGGGTTATTTGGTGTGTTATGGAACAGGCAGTGAAGAAACAGTTATAAATGGAAATCAACACTGTCTTGATGCCCCCCCCCCCAATTCTGTAAATAAGGCAAGGCCGATGCACAGAAGAACAGCACCATCTGGAGCTACCATAAAGCATCCACAGACCTGAACTCAGTATCGAATCACCAAGAGCTTCTTTGTGTATTCATTTGCTGAATGCATATTTATTTATTTATTCATTTAAAACCTTTATATGCTGCCCATCAGGCCATGGCATCCCTCGGTCGCTCTCAATCTTGCCCAGATTTTTATGCCACCCCATCAAAATAGATCCCAGGCCTTACGGTGCATAAGGTTCGAATAAAATACACAAATACATGGAAACATAATAACAGAGCGAGTCAGAAGATGAGTCGCCCCGAGGCTTTGTTGTGATGGGGGCAGCATAAAAATGTTTTACATAAATAAATAAATAAATAAATAAATAAAGCCTGACCCCCCCCCCCCCCGGCTCCAGACACTGGGACTGGGCGACGCATGGGCCGCATGGATGCTTTCTCTCATGGCCACGTTCACAACACTGTCACTATCACCACCACAGCCACCCACTCCCCAAGAGTGCAATTCTCTTTGCAAATAAAATGCACACTTCCAACATGCCCTGTTTTCCTGCAAAAACTGTTATGATGGCCATCATTACAGTGGGTGGGATTCCAGGGGAGCAATTTGCCCCCCTTTGACCCTCAACAGATACATACATACAGAAGGGACGAGGAAGAGGAAGAGAACTTTCAGCAGGAAAAAAGAATAGTCACTATATCATGCATTGGGCCCAGTACTGACCCAACATGTGATACTGAGAGCGGCTTCTGTTGCAAGGTGGCAATTTTGTTTGTTTATGTATTTATTTCCATTTATATGCTGCTACATTAGCTTGCACTTGGGCTGTTTTTTGAGCTTGCTTCCCCATTTTTACCCACCTAGCCTAGGGAATTTCCAACATAAAGATCTGATTTCAGTTAGCTTTTCATATGAATACGGTAATATAAAAATCTACATGGACCACAAAGTCCATTTCCATTACAAACGCCTCACCTCTCTCTATCATTCTCTCTGTTTCTTTCTCTCTCTCTCTCGCACATACAGCCTGTTGTCTGTCAGGCTGTCTGAACCCAGCAATGGTGTGTAGTTGGCATGGTTAATAAACCACACAGAACCCATTGCCTGTTTTTACCAGGTCTGGACAGAACAACAACAGAGGCATGACTGAAGTTTGGGTTACGGAAGGGTTCCCAAATGCACCTAGCATGAGTCCCATGACCACCTGATTGTGCCAAGAAGGTCAAGAAGAAGTTAACATATACAGTGCGGCACCAGACGGAGGCCAAACAGACTGAAGGAGGACCCAGTGAAGGCCTGGTTGCTTTGCCTGAGAATCTGAGGATGCTCACATCCCCCCCACAACACACACATGGATGGCAGAGCAGTATCTGCTGCAGCAGATTTAAGCTGCGAACCTTCACCTGTGCACAATCTGTACATTCACAGATAAACACAGGTGTTTATTTCAGAGAACTTCTATATTGCTTTTCATTTCCAAGAAAGAAAGATCCAAAAGCTGTTTAGAACAAAAATAATCACAATATCATACAGTTTAACCATTGAAACACCAAAAAAATGGTCTCACTGGAAAATATCATGCCAGAAGCTTCCTGTGACCAGCTTCCAAAGATACCACCCCAAGGACACGCTGGAACCCCTGGAAATTCAGAGGACGATCAGAGGACTGAGGTGTGTGTATCAATATCCACTTGCCACCCACACGCCTCACTGCCTCATCTGCAGGTCGTGCGTGCCAAGAAAGTAAAGCAAAGGGCAGGCAGGCACTCCTAGTCAGATCTACCACCCCACGTGGTGCATTGACCTTCTGCTTGTCATGCCATGCACGCTGCTAGCGTTTTGGAATGGCACCTCAACTGGCAGTGCAGCCTCTGCCCACTCCCACGCAACAAAGACCAACCTCTGTGTCGTGAAAAGTGTGTGCAAATATTTTTTTAAAAAAGTCTTTGGCAGGGTAGATAATTAACCTATACCATGACCTTCTTCTGAATTCCAGATTAGCTTCCTGCTGGGCAAATCTCTCCCCGCTGATCTACCCTGCGTAGTACAAACAAAAAAGAGCTGGCACACCTATTCTCATGCTATAAAAAAAGCTCATCTTTTTACACTAGTATAAATGGAAAGTCATGTTTATCATGGCTTTTATCTTATACACTGCCTTGAGAAGGTGACACCCTTAAAAAGTGGCTAATAAGTTTAAGTAGATGGATGTATCTGTACATAGAAACATAAGCTGCAGGTTTTATTACTGATATGTTACAGTGTGGAACAAGAAGGGGCAGGAAAGCCAGATGCAAAGCCAAAACAGGCAAAATGGCAGTGTTTGCTCCAGTTCTGTGTCCTACAAATATTTTGGACTACAACTCTTAGCATTGCCTAGGTAGCCGCTTTGCATTTCTACATATAGATTGCAAAGGGAAATTCCATCCGATTAGCAATGTTCTTTGCAGCTGCAGTGAATGGAATATCTCTCAGTCTTGAAAAGAAAAGATGGGGAACAACTTACTTTCTTGTTTTCCTTTGAACCCAGGTTAGAAGGGCCTTGATTGCTTTTCGCTGATCCTTCACTGAAACAGACATGCTTCTCTCAACATTAGGAGTGCTGGGATGAGAGGTGTCTGAATCAGGGCCGCTGGGCCCTGAAGACAAGCTGGAAGAGGAGGAGTTCCTATTGAGGTTGCCTGTAAGTTCCTTAATCTGTCAGGAAAAAAGGCGACAGGCAGGGGGTCAGAAACACAGAACAAAGAATCCATCATCCTGCTGCATAGCCTCCAGGACAAGCACCCCCATTCATTTCCTTCAGGCTTCTTACACAGATGAGGAAAAGACAGTTAGTTCATGCCAGGTAGTCCTGTGTTTCACACAGAGGGCATTTGGGGCCCATTTTATGCTGGCTGAAAGAATTTGCCCCTTGCTGATACCTGCAGCAGGACTTCGGTTGGCCTGGGCAGCCAGGTCCCACACATGTACAGTAAAAACAGGAAGCAACCCCTATGTCCCGATCGATAGCTGCTCTTACACAAACATTCTTCTATGGGACAAATCTTGCCCAGATCTACCAAAGCCAGACTTTGAGATGGTAAATGAAACAAAGGATTTGATAACACTTTAAAGAAGAGTACATTTATTGTGTACAAGGATTGTGTGAAATGAGGCTACAGAAAGAAAGAGAGGAAGAAAAGGATAAGTGTGCGTATATGTGTGTGTGCACACATTTGAGAAAGAAAGAAAGAAAGAAAGAAAGAAAGAAAGAAAGAAAGAAAGAAAGAGAATGGATGATAGATGAATGGTGGGGATGTTAGAATGGACAATTGTTGTGAGTAAGAGTGTGGGGTGGCTCAGGCACCCCTCACGGATCACCATCTGCTCCAGCCCCACAAGTGGCTTCTGAGCCCTAAAAGATCCTGAGACAGACTGATGCTTGAAAACTCTTGAAAGTGTTTTGCTTTTCCATACCATGGCTGAAACCGAGTCTTGAAATGCCAGGAACTGAATGAACCTGACAAACTTGACATGCCTCCCACCACTTGGACCACCAGCACAGATACAGCTCCTCCAATCTCTTAATCACTTTCACTGGGTAATCCTGCAGCTTGCACAATGTTTAAATGATCCAACTGGACTGCTGGATCTCCTTCTTGAAGGAATTCATCTCCATGGTAAAACGACCCCTCATGGGAATCATGCAATTTCACAGGCCCCAGCATCTTCTTTAGCCAAGGTTTTCAAACCCTGGTTCTAGAAAAGCAGGTTGCTTACCTGTAACTGATGTTCTTCGAGTGGCCATCTGTGCAGTCACACATATGGGTGCTGCGCCTGCACAGTGCCTTTGGCCGGAAGATTGCAAGCTAACGGTTTTTGGCAGGAAAAGCTCCACTCCCCCTCCCCCATAGCCTATAAAGAGTGGAGCATCTGCCATTTTGTTCAGTCTTTGACGACCGAATGTATGCCCCCATGTGGAAAAAATTTGCCAGTATGAGATAGGAAAAAAGATCGGTACCATGAAAAAAGGGAAAACTTTCGGTACCGACAAATATGTCCACTCACCGACACCGAGCGGGGCCGGCAGGTGGATTGTGTGACTGCACAGATGGCCACTCAAAGAACATCAGTTACAGGTAAGCGACCTGCTTTTCTTCATCGTGGCCTCTGTGCATCACACATATGGGTAGATTAACAAGCTTACCATAAAAGGAGGAGGGGAGGTGTCCTCACTGAAGAATAGATGAAAGAACAGCTCTGCCAAAGGAGCAATCCTGCCAAGCCCGAACATCTAGATGATAATGTCTGGCGAAAGTGCAAGGGTTCGCCCAAGTAGCAGTTCGGCATACATCATCAATCGGGACCCCTGATGCAAAGACAGATGAGGCTGCAACAGCCCTAGTCGAATGGCTTCGAGGGGCTGTAGGTAATTCAATCTTAGCCAGTTGATAGGATAAAGTAATAGTATGGACTATCCACTTCGAAAGTCTCTGCAGAGTGACTGGATCGCCTTGATCTCTGGTGGAATATTTAATAAATAGTCTATTTGAGCGTTGAATAGATTCAGTCCTCAATCTGTAGAAGGCTAAGCAGCGCCGAACATCATGTGAGTGCAACGATCTTTCTAATGGAGTCGACGGTGACGGAAAAAAGGCAGGTAAGATAATATCCTGTCCCATATGAAAAGATGTAGCCACCTTAGGAAGAAAAGATGGATTGAGGTGCAAAACAAGCTTTTCTCTGTGAAAATTCAGGTAAGGAGGGTCTATGCGGAGAGCGCAGAGCTCACTGGCCCTTCGGGCTGAAGTGACCACAACAAGAAACGTCTTCCATGAAACCAGACGTAAATCGACTGTTGCTAATGGTTCGAAAGGAGCTCTCGTAAGCGCTTGCAGAACAACAGAGAGAATCCATGTAGGCATTACTGGCCTGATTGATGGATTAAGATTATGAAGTCCTTTAAGAAACCTCTTAACAGTAGGTTGAGAGAAGATGGTTGATCCGTCAACCAAGCCACGATGGTAGACTATTGCTGCCGTATACACTTTAACTGAAGATGGTTTCAATCCGGAATGGTGCAGTTCTAATAGGAACTGAAGGATTTGATGTATCAATGATGTAAATGGAGAGAATGAACGAGACTCAGCAAAGGCAGAAAACCGTCTCCATTTAGCCGCGTAGGACTTCTGTGTGGACGGCTTCAAAGCAGAATCAAGGATGTGTTGGATATCAGGATGAAAGGCTGTCGGATTTGACGGATCAATCCTTGAATCTGATGGTACAGAAGGAAGAAATGAAGAGGAAATGCTGAACCCACTGGATTCGACGGCAGGATTCGATTCACTTGAAGTTGTCATCGATACCAGTGGCGCAATGGTAGCTATCGGATTCACCACGCTGTTAAGTTCAATGACAGTAAATCTGGATGGCGAAGCGTACCGCCCTGTTGGGTTATGAGGTATGGAAGCAGTGGTAGATGGAGGCATTCCCCACGAGAGATGTCGAGCAGTGTCGCAAACCAAGCTTGGCGTGGCCACCAAGGGGCAATTAGTATCCCTGAGGCTCGATCGTATACTATCTTCGCTATCACTCTCATCATAAGAGGGATTGGAGGGAAGGAGTAAAAGATCAGGTTGTTCCAGGGGATCATGAATGCATCCCCTAGGGATCCGTCCCTGATTCCCGCTCTCGAACAGTAAGCATCGCACACCTTGTTCTGTTGGGTGGCGAAGAAGTCCACGTCGGGGAACCCCCAGCGATGAAAGAGAAGGTCACGTGTCTGAGGATCTAGTTCCCATTCGTGTGAGATGAACATGTGCCTGCTAAGGAGGTCTGCTTGCACACTGTCCATACCAGCCAGATGGACTGCCATCAGCGTAATGTCTCTCGGAATGCACCAGTCCCAAATTTTCATTAAAAGTCTGGCCAAAGTTGAGGACTTTGTTCCACCTTGTTTGTTCAGGTAGAAGATGGTGGCTATGTTGTCCGAAGTTATCTGAACGACCCGATGTTGGAGAACATCCTCGAAAGAGCATAGGGCCTTGAATACTGCCAGCAGCTCCAGGAAGTTGATATGATTCGTGGATCCTCGACGATTCCACATGCCTTGGGTGTATAGGCTGGAGCGTATCGCTTCCCATCCCAGAAGAGATGCATTGGTACCGAGGGTTATCGAAGGACATCATGGCCTGAAGGGAACCCCAACGGTCAGATTGACTGGTACCGACCACCAGAGCAGAGAATGGAGCACCGAAGATGGGATTCAAATCAATTTCGATGGTGGGTCTCTCTGTGGGTGGAAAATCTTGTTGAAGAGGAGTTGTAACGGACAGAGTCGAAATCTGGCGTGTGGCACCACAGCAACCGAGGAAGCCATATGTCCCAGGATCCTCTGGATGGACTTTGCCGGGACCGTCCCATCTCGTCGCATTCGATGGATGTGGCGAGCAAGAATCTGTTGTCTGTCCCGAGGAAGGAAGGCTTTCCCCAATGTCGAATCCAGGCGGGCTCCAATGAAGATAAGCGTCTGCGTCAGAAGAAGAGAAGATTTCTCGGTATTAATGCGTAGGCCCAGATCATCCAACAAGGCACAGGTTATATGGATGGATGCAAGGACTCCTTCCCTAGACTGGGACACTAGCAGCCAATCATCAAGATACGGGTAAATTTGTATGCCTTGGAGGCGTAGGAAAGCGCAGACAGGGGCCACACATTTGGTGAACACTCTCGGAGCAGTGGCCAGTCCAAAAGGTAAAACTGCAAATTCATAGAAATGGGGTACAACAGCAAAACGAAGGAAATGCCTATAACTCGAGTGGATCAAAATGTGGAAATAGGCGTCCTTCAAGTCCAATGAAGCGAACCAATCCTCTTTCCTTAGCAGCAGCAAAATATTTTGAAGGGTGGTCATTCGAAACTTTTTTGTCACGATAAATCGATTCAGATTACTTAAGTTCAAAATCGGACGTAGACCACCATCCCGCTTCGGGACCGTAAAATATCTGGAATAGAATCCGTGGAGTCCGTCAGGTGGGGTTACTTGATGAATCGCTCCTTTACGAAGTTGTTGTATTTCATCGAGTAGTACCGGCGAGCATGATATAAACCGGATCAGACTCGAAGGAGGAACGATGTCGAATTCTATCTGATAGCCATGCTGAATGATGGACAATACCCACCGATCAGATGTGATGGACTCCCGAATGGGGAGTCGGCTTTGCAGCTGATCCCCAGATGAGAGGGGGATGGGTATGGAAGGGATCAGAGGAATGGTTCGCCAGTCCCGTCAACGCTGTCTCCTATCGCTGAAACGGTGGCGGCCTTGCTGAAAGCGCTGCTGGGGCTGTGGATGGTGGCGCTGCTGTTGCTGCTGCTGTCGGTGCTGGGGCTGCTGTCTAGGCTGGTTGGACTGCCTATAAGATGGACGAGTCCATGACCACTTACGCCTGGTCTGGGTCTGTAGCTCCATCCTACGTGCTGTCATGCGGGATTCATGTATGGTTGGTACGCGAGTGGAAAAGCCCGGACCCGTCAAAGGACATTTCCTCTATCCGACCTTTAGTCTCCTCCAGGAAGTTACAATTTCTTAGCCAGGCAAGTCTCCGGAGTGAAATGGCACCGACCAAGGCCCTCGAGTCTGTGTCCACATGATGCCTAGCTGTGGACAACTGCTGGACAGCAAACTGCATTGCCTCCTTGATGAGGACCTTGGCCAGGTCACCCTGGTGGTCCGGGAGGGTCGAGGTGACGTTGCGGAGGCATTGCATTATGAAGTATTGATACCTCGCCAACATAGCCTCATAGTTGGAGATACGCAGCCCCAGGCCTGAGGCAGTGTAGACTCGCCAGGCCAGGGAGTCGATCTTTCGGCCCTCCTTATCCCTTGACCTCTCGCCTCTCTGCCCTGGGAGGACTCCACCATGACCAAGTTCGACTTGGGGTGGCGGAGGAGGAAGGGGATATCCTCCTCCCAAACCCAGTACATGGATTCGTACCTCTGAGATGTGGGTTGAGGGTGAAAGGGCAAGTCCCAGGGCTGCATCATCACCTGCCGTAAGGTGGTAATCAGCGGCAGGACGATTGATGTGGACTGTTCCCCGTGGACAATGTCGTAGAACTTGTCCGTAGTCGGTCCCGGATGCTGGATGGCGTCGATGTTGAGGGACTGGACAAGCTGGGACATCAGCTCCGCGAAGGAGACATGCGATTCATCCGGTGACACAGGGCCCTGGGAGGTCACAGCAACGTCAGAGGAGGTTGAACCGACCCCCGAATCGTCGGAGTCAGCACCATAATACAGGGGAGCCGATGATGAGGACTCCGCCGGGGAGAAGGAGCAGCTACTTCCATCCCGAGGAGGTACTGGGGATGCACGCCTCGGGCCCGAGGACTGCGGTCGGTCGCAGGACAGTAGCGAAGACCAACCCCTAGGAGGGGGATAGTACCTGACGGAGAGTGGATTGCCCCAGGTGTGATAATATGAGCAACGCCATCCCTCCGAGCACTGCTCCATGGAGTGACTCCTCCAGCTCCTAGGCAGGGACATCTCTACATCCGCCTTCAGTGGCTGTGGGCATAGGTGTGGGAGACCTAGCCCTGGGGGGGGGGGGTCCTGAATTTCCCCATCAGAAATTGAGCCTCTTTGTAGAGTTGGAAATGGCCCAGCAGGAAGGTCAGCCACACAGTGAGGGGACCCTTGAGGGGCAACCCTCATAGCTTCCTGAAGCACTGGGTCGGGTGGAGTCGGTACGGTAAGTGCCGCCGGTACCGAGGGGGCCGCTGAATCCAAGTCCCGGTGTCGAGAATGCTCTGGATCCTTCGATTTTTTTGAAGGTTTAGGAGCCTTCTCCTTCCTGGCCTTCTTATGGCCTGCCGATTTGTCAGGTTCAGCATGCTTATGCTTCTTGTGCTTTTTCTTGGGAGAAGCAGGTGGAACCACCATAGCAGACATGCCTTCATCCGAAGGGCGTGAGGGTGGAGCCACTGAAGCGGAGCCAGGCTTCGGAGCAGCAACAAGTGGGTCGGACTGCATGAGAGCCCGATCCCATAGGAGCCTCCGGAGGCAATTCTCATGATTCTTCCTGGCCTGCTTAGAGAAGGCCAGGCAGTGAAAGCATTTATCAGTCCTATGCCCCTCCCCCAAGCAGAGGAGGCATAGGTCATGCGGGTCGGTTGGAGACATTTTTGACCCGCACTCCGTGCATTTGCGGAAAGCCGCTCGCTGCACCATGGCAAGAAAGAGAAAAAAGGGAGATAAGTACATATTTTTGGGTTTTTTTTTTTTTTTTTTAGATAGAAGATCGAAAGGAAGGTAGAAGGACAGAGAAAACTACAAGAACTATAAGAACTATAGGAACTATCAGGAACTAGAAGAAATACCGGAGCTATAACAACTGGGAGAACAATTGAGAAGAAGAACAGGCTAGACGAGCAATGGTCAGAGCGAGAGCGAAAGCGGCACGAGGCACAGCGAACGGCGGTCGCAAAGACTGAACAAAATGGCGGACGCTCCGCTCTTTATAGGCTATGGGGGAGGGGGAGCGGAGCTTTTCCCGCCAAAAACCGTTAGCTTGCAATCTTCCGGCCAAAGGCACTGCGCAGGCACAGCACCCATATGTGTGATGCACAGAGGCCATGACGAAGAACTGGCTAAGTTGGAGAAGAAAGATAGCAGTACCTAGATTTCACATTGGTAGAGACCATACTACCAATGGCACAAATCAGAGGAACAGTTATTCATAGCATGTGTTCCAAGGTCAGACAGATACGGACTTATGAGAGGGCCCTGGGAACCAGAATTCTCAGATGTTGAAATGGGAGTAGCTGAGGGGTTTATCTCAAGGGCACCTGCCCCAGGTGTTCAGGCAATGTTGAGAACAGCCACGATTTACAACTGAAGGTACGGGATGTGGGAGATCTCTTGCAGCCAGCTCAGCCTTGACTCCATGACATGACTATGGGAGACGGGCCCACTAACTGGAAGGGTGGTGGACAGAGAAGAGGCTCACCCATCTCCAAAAGGGTCATTCCAGAGTTTGGGGTGGGGGCGGGGGTACTCAAAAGGCAGATGCTTGGAAGTAGTTGCTAGACTGGCTTCAATGAACCACTCTGTTCATGCTCAGAGACTCTTTCTTCATTGGTTGTGCTTACTGGAAGTGCACTAGAAAGTAAAGATCTGCCAAAGTACCGTCTGTGTTTTGGAAGTGCAAAGTGGGAGGGGGAACCTGGCTCATGACACCAGACCATATTGCAGGCCATCTAGGGAGGTGGTGGCAAAAGCTGTGCAGCAGAGGAGAGGGGGCAGGAGTACATTAGCCTAATACCTGCTGCCCATCACAGTGGTTAAGAGACCAAGTTACATCTGTACTGGATTTAAAAAGGTTGGAGGCACATCAAGTCCATTGCTTTCATTCAATTCCTTGCATTTCAAGACTCAGTTTCAATCTTGGTCTAGGAAAGTAGGACACAAGGGCTTTAAAGCATTGCTGTCAGGACCTTGTAGGGCACAGGTTTCATGAGCTGCATTGCTAGAACATACAAAGCAAGTGTCCTATATTTTCAGCCCCAAACCTTCTGATCTTTGATTGGAATGGAAGCTAGAGATGCACACATCAGGCTGGACTCAAGTAATTTGAGGTGGAAATCCACTTGTGGGGGAGCAGAAGAGGACTAGAGTGTGGAGGGCAAAAGGAAAAAGAAAGGTGTGGTGAGATTTGGGTGTGTGTTCCATTGCAGCTGATATGTCAAGCATTTACTGCGTTGTTAATTTCAGGAAAAATGAAGTGTTATGTGACATGCACATACACAAATGAGAGCAAACTTCATTTTTGTTCTTCACACTAACCTTCTGCAGAATTTGAAATATTTAATAAAATACCTGTTAGATCATCACTTTTATTTTACCTGAAAAAACAGGATTATGTTCCATATCAGGCCCAGGACCATGGAAGAGTTTCCATCTGCTATTTCAGCTGCATCAATGCTAACCAACTTTACCTACAGGAGGAAAAAAACCAGGTTGTAAGCTTTAAAAGATGCTTTAAAATAAACAGATAAATACATACAAATCAGTTTTAATCAAAACAGCTGGAAGCATATAGGCAATGCCTGCATTCTGCAGTTAATTACATGAAGCAAGGTTTTGGATTGCATTGCTTTTATACTACAGGAGTCCTTATTTGCTCGGTTCTAGCTACAGTTCTGCACCTAGTTTGTAGCAGGATGTGGCTGCAGTGTGGCAGTTCACTTTGAATAGGGAAAGGTTCTCAAATGACACCATAATTGTTCAGAAGGAAAGGGCCGCTGTGGTGTGAAGAAAACTGGATTCATCACATTCACAGTCACCATGGTGGATCCACAGCAAAACAATCTGTTAGGGAGCTGTAAACATGGGCAGACAAGCCTGCTCTCAAAGGCTGGACTTGGGAGCAAGGGAAATTACTGTGCTATGAAGTAAGTAATACAGGCACCCCACCTCCTTCCGTTAGAACTGTGGCTTTCCTCAAGGAGAGAAGAGCTTCCCAAACCAGGCAGCTTCCTATCCATGACTTCCCAATCTATAACCTTTGTCATGGCGCTGCCCAGACCCAGAAGAATATGGAGGCCGTTCTTCTCTGCAAGGCATGTGCCACCCAGGAATCAGGAATATGCCCTAATGGAGACTTCCCCAGCCTGGTGTCTGCTGGAATTGCTGGACTGCAGTTCCCAGCATTCCTATCCAGAATGGTACTGGCCATGCTCCTGGGAACCCAGGGAGTTGCAGATCCAACACATATGGAAGGCGCCAACATCCAATACGTGCTATCAATTCACTGGTGCTTATGAAGATGACACTCTTGGGTGACCACGGGCCATGCAATACATTGCTGACTAGTGGCATGACCAGTATATTTTACATGAATTGGTTTCTCAATAATCATCAGCACTCTTAACATTTGAGGGCCAAACTCAGTTTGCTAAATGCATAGCTGCCACCAAAACCAGTAACTTCTTCCCTCTTCCACCGAAACGTACCCACTCGTCGCATGAGGAGGAAGGGGTTTTGTGTGTGTGTGTGTGTGTGTGTGTGTGCATGCTTTGGGGGAAGATCTCTAACCTTTTGATTGCTCCCCAACAGACTGGCACGTTACATCTGCACTTTTAGAATGGTTGGAAGCATGTCAAGTTCATTGGTTTCCATCAATTCTTGGGGTTTCATCCAGACTAAGTTATATTTAAAGTAGGTCATCTTGAGCCCATGGAAGTTAAGTAAGTCATAACTAACTTATGTCCCATTGATATAATGAACCTATTGTAGGCGTAACTAAATCTGGATTCTACCCTTGATGTTCCACATGTCAGTTTCTGTATTGGTACAGGAAACGAACATGAATCCACATGTTTTGATCTGAAGCATCATTGCTGGGCCTTTTTAGGATACATGTCATAAGAACCATGTAGCTCAAATACACAAAGCAGCATTCATACATTGTCAGCCCAAACATGGAAAATAAAATCTCCTGATTCTAGATTTGAAGAGAAGCCAGCTTCATGTTAGAGTGGATGAATGCCACAGTATCTCATGGTTGTTCTTAGTCACCCGGACCTACAGCAGTTGCTGACAGAGAGTGAAGAAATAAAGAATAGTATGTGATCAGGATACATGAGCTACCAGAGGGTGGCAGGAGGAAGAGGGTGAACACACATCTCTGTGATGTATTGGCAACATTACTTGGTTATCTGGATTATTTGATGCTAATGAGATGAAGTATTCATACTCCGTATCCCATGACTTGATTATACGACGCTCATCAGGACTCCATAATTCATTTTTCTCCTCAAGTGAGATTTATCAGATCTCTTCAGATGCAGCCTTCTGGCATGCACCATCTCTAGATCGGGCACCCACATTCATCAAACTGCCATCTGAGCTTGTGGGTGTTTGGAAATGTGAATGCAACACACTTCTGATGCCAACATGGCTCAGGAAAAGTCTATCCTTTATTTTGAAGGCTCAGCTATCATGGCATCCGCCTTCCCAATTTTTTACTGAGTGGCTGCCTAGATGGCAGTTATTTGAGCTTGACCAAATGGCCAAAGGTGGGAGTTCCAAAGCCCTATCAAGAAGCAGAGTTTCCACACTGATGCTGATTCCACAAGATAAAAGGCAGCATCTGTCACACTTTCAAACACTCACTCACTCACTGTAGGGAAGACAGCAGAAGATGGGTGAGAATTCCACTGTTGCCAAGGTCAGTGCTCAAGCCCAATAATGCAATAAGATACTTCAGACATGCCCTAAATCTGCCTTCCCCAAGTTACCGTTCTCCAAACATGTTGGACTGAAACTACTATCTGGGGGGGCAGACAGACATGCTGGTTGTGGTTGATGGGAGTTGCAGACCAATACAGTTGGACAGGCTGATCTACATGATGGAACAGGTTAAAGTACTGAGCTTCTGCATTTCCCACACAAGTCCTTTCAAATTCCACAAAGCTGCACACTGTGACAGTCCCTTTCCATCTCTTTCTTTGTAGTTTAATATTTAATCTAACTCTCCACTGCCATAGAAACCAGAAAACATTTATCCAGACTGCTGTTCCATCTCTAAATTGGTTAATTTTAACATGAGATTGAAAGGGAAATATTAACTTGTGGCTTACCACAAGGATTTTCTGTCCTGATAAGATGTCACTACCCCATATATCATTTCTCTGATAAAGTCTCAAACTAAGTCATGAACTAAAATCTTTAGGCTGCTGGCTATTTCTTTCCTTAATTAATTTTAAGGACACTTCTATCACACTATAACTCTTAGAGTTTGCAAGTTACATATGACCTGTGTGGTTCTTGATGCAACTGCCAAAGACAGGCTGCATTTCCATGTTGAAAACCGCAAATAAATGCTGGGAAAATGGGAACTGTGTTGGAAATGAGCATGAGCATTCCTACAGATAGAAAACAAATGGGGTCATGAAATCAGCGGTGTGGTGGTAGATTTTGAAGTGCAGGAAATCATTGACACACCCATAGTCACACTCCAAAAGAAAGGCCCAACATAAAGAAAGCTACAATCATCTCTCTCTCTGTGACATGTCTACACACACTCTCGTGATTTTCCTGGAGCTGCTTTTCCTGGCACCAAGGCAAAACTATTTTTCTCAAACTCCACAAATCAGGTCTACCAGGTTTCATTTCCAACAGGAGCAGGTCTTCATAAAGCACATGGTTCTAATTTGCTCTTCTGGGAACACGCCACCCACAAATTATTTGCATTTCAACAAGGACTACTCACAACAGTATATTATTGCCTGGAAATCCATTGAGCCCAAGCTGTTGCGAATGCCACAGCCACATTTACAGGGCAATCTGTGGGAGGAGGCAGATGATGTCACAGTCCCTGCGAATCAAAAGGTCCTGCCTCCAACGCTACAAGCCCTGGTTCCACTACACCGCTGCTTGAAAGACGGACTTGTAAGAGCTGCATTAGCTTAAGTGGCCAACACTCCACTGCCAAACTACCCCTAGCTCTGCAGCTGCTGAAGGTGTAACAGCCCTCCAGTGATCCCGGTTCCTATATCTTGCCTTTTCACTCTTCCCAGACTTTCCCAACAGGAAGGACTTACAAGGACACGACTGTGGTCACCCTCAGAAGGGGGATGGACATGAAGATCAAGTCATTCCACCTGGCCTTCAAAAAGTGCCGTGTGCCCAAGCAGATTCACCTTCAGTAAGCTGAAGGCAAGGTGAGGCAGCTCACTATGACATACGAAGGCCCCTGGCAACATAATAAGTGTGATGTCGCCAACAGCAGGAGCAGAATTCAGAGACACTGGAGCAGCAGTTCAGGAAGCTGTCGCCACCTACCAAAGACTCCTGCGAGGCCATGTGCTCCCACCTGCACTGGTTTTGGAGGAAGGGAGGGAGGGGACAGCCCAGGACCGAGCTTAGAACATCAGCTCTTGCAGGATCCAGCAGATGACAACAATGACATGGAAAGCCTCAGCCCTAAGCACTGAGAAGTGGTGGCTGCAGGAGAACATTCTGAGAGGAACAGTGGCACTATGCCAAGGTACCAAGCTATTTCCACTTGCCCTGCTCATCCTGCTGCTTCCTCCTCCTCTTCCACCACAATGCAGCAAAGATACAGCTGGATACCACCCCAGCTTGTGGCGAAGAATGCACTGAGACAGGACACCACGTGGCAAAAAGGCTGAGCACCTCAGCCTCGGTTTCCCTGCTGCCCATTGCTTGCACCTCTCGCCATTGGTTCACACTGCAAAATTAAAGGCATTTTCCCTTTCAATGAACTCAAGGGAACACAACCCCCCCCTCCTCCTTTCATTCTTATCCTTACAACAGTCACCCTGTGAAGTAGATAAGGTTGAGAGTCTGTGAATGGTCCAAAGTTATCCAGTTGGCTCCATGGCCAAGAGGGGACTTGAACTTGGAGCTCCCAAATTCCAGTTCAACACTCAAACCACTACTCCACACTGCCTCTCAGTACATGCGAACTCCAGTGTAACTTTCCAGTATGGCATGTTTACACAAGGCATAGGGATGGTGCTGTGTGTGCCAACTGAGGAGCCATTTGTTTTAAGATCTTTCCTGCTATCTCCCCATGGATGTTCACATAATTGACCTTGTCTCTTCTAGAGGCTAAAGGAGATCTGAAGGAATGGATACGATGCATCCGTGTATGAAAGTTCACTTGCTCCAAGTTATCCAGGGTAATCTGCAGGTAATGATTCACACGGGGAGAGAATCACTCATCTCTTAAGGTGTACTAATGGGAGCCACTGAGGTTGTTTTGGACTGGGGACCTGGGGGATCCAGGTTCTAATCCCCACTTGAACATGAAGCTACCTGGGTGACTTTGGGCCAGTCACTCACTCTCGGCCTAACCTACCTCACAAGGTTGTTGTTTTGAGGATAAAATGGAGCAATGTAAGCCATCCTGGGTTCTTTACAAGAGAAAAAAAGGCATGATATAAATGCACTGTGCTGATGAAGGCAACGGCAATGATGATGATGATGATAGGTAACTCTTTAGCCCCAGTCACTGAAGAATGCTGCAAAATATACTTTCTTATTCTGACTTTTCAACATAAACTTATGTGGGGAAAAAGCACCCCTGTATGAATCCCTACAGAGAATCAGATGTGGTTCAGATGTTAAAAAGAAAGAAATGTTCTAATAATAATAATAATAATAATAATAATAATAATAATAATAATAACAATAATAATAAGTTTACTGCTGCATTTATGTTAATGCATCCCAACCCCCAAACCCAGTGAGGTGGTACACCACAGCTCCCATGATCCCTAGCCAGGGCAGTACTTGCTGGTGGGGTGATGGGAGTTGTAGTCCCACACATCTAAAGGGCAGTGCTTCATAGTGGCATGGGAAAGTCCTCCCCATGAGACATGGAATGATCAAAAGAGAAAAAAAGACATGAGCACTTGTGTAAAGGGACATACACCCACCTGTGCAAAGGCATGTAGGAGAGACACAGGTCCTCAGAGAAGACTTCCCTAACGTAACCTGGTATAGTCCAGATGTGTTGGACTCCAACTCCCAGCATGCCCCACCCCACATTGATCAATTATTTCTACGTTTGCATCCAATCTTTTCTATCTTGCAAGGAATCCAAGGCAGTTTACATGGCCTTCCTCCATTTCATTTGATTCTCACAACAACCCTCTGAGGTAGGCTGGGCTGAGTGTCAGTGGCTGTCCCAACACGAGTTTAATCGCTAAGGATGGACTAGCACCTCTTCAGTCCCAGTCCAACATGCTAACCACTATGCCACACTGTCTCCCTAAAGCATGCTGGAAGCTGTCGTGCAAAATATCTGGAGGATACCAAGCGGGGGAAGGCTGCCTCATGCTGCAAGTATGTGGACCTCAACTGCAAATGCTGCATGCAGCGCTCAGCTTTCATGCAAGAACGCAAGGGAGGAAGAGTCATGCTTCCCATTTGCACTGCCCAATGCTTCCAATGTTAGCCTAACAAAGCAAGTTCCAATCATTTAATTGGGCCTGCCCTAAGTAGGATGAACACTGGTCACAGCCCCAAGTGGTTGTGGGTAGCAAAACCAATGTATTATTAGGCCAGATCTTTTGTTCCTGCTTATGCAACATTCGGCCTTCAAAACGTGTACAGGAAATGCAACTCTATCTCACCAACTTTTGGAAGGTTTTTGGAACAAAGATCAAATATGTTCCTGATATAATTTAGCAAAGAAATATAAAACTCATAATGTCAAAAAGTTTTTTTTTAAATCAGATGATTCAAGTTACTAACTTCCAAAGCAAATCAAGTGTGGTTGCTCAGAGCTTTCCAGTTGCATGCGTGTCTTATTATTTTCTTTTAATATTAGCCACTTGATCCTTTAATCCAGCTGAACCTTTTAACATTACAACTTTTTAAAAAAGTAATCCCTGTTTTTCAGAGTCAGCAGGAGCCTTTTCTACAGATCCTGCGCTGCATTTTATACTCAAATTAAAATAAAGCATAATTCCTTCAGCTTACACATTCTTCACTGAGGCTTGCTAAGTTTTATTTATATATTTTACTGCTGTGATTACTGGGACAAGTGAAGAATGATTAACAGCTTTCCAATTACTTACATTGCTATCCTCCAAAAACCTGAGGGCTTTTGCAATATTGTTCAGTCGAAAAATACGATGGGTTGAGGGCTTGTACTCGTGCAGCTAAAAAAACAAAAAACAGAAAAAGCTTCAGAAGGAAGTCTGGCAATGAAAGCTTCTTTATAATACAAATTAATTAACAGTGTGAAGTGATGAAACCGAGTCTCTCATTTACTGTTCAATGAAAAGGTTATCATGGCTTATAGAGGCAGCAACAGCAGTGCGTTACACCAAGAGCTGCCAAATGGGAAAAAAAAGACTCAAAAGCAGAATTTAAATTCCAAGAAGTGCCATTTTTTGGTAGAACAGCAGGACAGAAATCAAGTAAATAAACAAATAAATAAAGCTGATCACAGTTGAATTCAGCTTGAACAAATTGCTATGCTGACTGGGAAGATAATTTTTTAAAGCATTGCCCCTCTGTACATAAACATTTATCATCATCATTAAGGGAAAATTATTTTCTCCAGTTCATTATCCCCTATCAGTCTTTCTAATAATTCTAAAAGGCAATTTCCTCTAGATTAGTGTCCTCTTAGACACTTTCCATAGATGAGACAGTTCAAAAGATAGTTGTTGAGATCTACCTCTCACAACAAATACAGAATAAACATTTGCTGAGAGATTGGGGGTGAAATGACATGAAATGTTAGTCACACAGCTCTAAGTCCGGTTTGGTTTGGGGAATTTTGAGCATGGGGTAATAAGTAGTGCAGGGGCCCTAATCCATATTGGTGCTCTAGCATGGAAGGTAAAGCATTCTACCTTTTTGACCCTCATAATAGCATGATCTAAATTGGGGCCCCTTCATCATTAGACTGCACCGCAAAAAGTTTTCATTCATTTCAGTGGGGCCTTTTCACATTGCAAATTGCATGTGGCATGTAAAGCGTTAAAGCCCCATAACCCTAAGGCTAGAGTCCCAATCTGGAATGGGGGTCCTACCAAACTGCCCCCAAGTTATTGCTGCATTTAATGGCAGAACTATGTGATTAATAATCCCTGTAAATTGGCCCTTAGATGTACAAACTATGGTTTGAAGGATGAGAAATGAACTCCTTTCCAGCTCTGGCTTCCCTCCCCCTCCCTTGCACATTTAGCTTAATGCATAACATCCTTCTTTGATCAAAAAATAGTTGCAATTTCATCTGAACTGGCACCAGGCCTCCAAAACAGAAATCCAGCAAATTATCCATTTTTCTCCCCCATTTTGTAAGGTTGTTTCTAGTCCTGAACATCTACAAAACATGCTTAAGAGATTTTGATCCTGCTTTCTGTCCACTCAGAAACTGCAAGGTGGCTCACTGTACACTAAATAAAATACGAATAAAGAAGAAACACAACAATCAGTGCATCAGCAGCAGCACAGAATCATTCCTCAGTGGCCTCCAGATCATGTAGCCACGAACTAGGGCAAGCACATACAAACCACAGCATCCCAGTGATGTAGAGAAATAGGCTCCAAACAGGTGTGTGTACCTCTACTGATTTAAATGTTTCACAGGGGAACACAGTGCATACTAGCGGGCAGGGCTACACAGCCTTCAGTCCATGGACATAATCTGTCCCATGGGGTACCTTTTGGGGTTCACTCACTTAGGTACCAAGCTCTACCTCCTGAAGGAATCTCCTCGGACAGCATCCTTGATGCTACCTCCAACCTGAGATCAGGGTTGACCCTGGGGACTCCCCTGCGGCTTCTCTCCCAGCATGGCTGAGCCAGAGGCCCAGGCTGCCTGGCCCTCTGAGCCTGCCTGTTCCTGTGGCAACCTCTCCCAGTCTGTCTTACACAGAGGCTAACCGGTGATCTGTATAGTAGCAGAGCTACCTCATTAACACATGCTTCCTATTGAGTGGAAGGCTGAGACAAAGTTTGCATGTCTGGAGATCCATGTCAGCTGTGTTTGTTGGCAGGGCTGGTGAAGAATGACTGACCTCTCTGATGTGGCCATTAGGTCACCAAAGGCCATCTGATCCTACCACAAATGCCAAAAAGCAAACAAACACCCCCCGCCACATCTGTGGCTGTTTAAGTCTTCATTTTATCCTACCAGGTTTTGTCCAGAAAGAACCTCCAGTAAAGCCATCAAAATTTTGCCATCTTTAATATCGCCCAACAAATCTTTCACTTCCAGAGGGGGGGTACACTGTGAAGAAAGGGAAAATCTATTGAGGAATACAAATGTGAAGTATACATTACAGTCATCTGCCAGCAATAGCCATCTGCATTCTATTTAGGACAAACAGGCCGGTCTCCATGCAAAAAAATAAATGGAGAAGAATCTGACAATCAAAATGGTAATCTTCAGAAACATTTTAATCTACCATGCTATTCTGGGTGGTTTGAGATGGAGGACCCCTGTTGCTACCTATCAAAAAATGTGCAATTGTTCCATCTTTTCCTCTTTAACAGTTTTTTGTTTGTGTGTGTGTACTGTGGAAAGAAAAAAGACAGAAAACATAGAACAGTTACAAGTGCAAGAAACCTGTCTAGGGTCCACAAATCCACAAATGGGGCAGAGCTATTGCACAATAAAAAAGTTGTCTAGAAACACCCTCTGCTACTGATCTTAGGGTGGTTATCCTTGAGCAAAGCATGTTCAAAGAGAAATTCCAGTGTGCAACTGTGGAATTAGAACTCACCAAGAAGTCCCATGTTCTTTATTCAGGTTAATGGGTTTCTTTCTCACTTTCTCAGTGTTAATTCCTTACCAATGTGAAGGTGATTGTGATCACCAATGACTGCTTCTGTGAAACATCCCTGTTCATTTTGTATATGTGCAGATGTGAACTGAATTGTCACTGTCTGTAGTGGTTTCATTTCATTGCCATTTAAGCCCAAAAGCTACACTTTTTCTCCTGTGTTTGTCTATGTGACTACTGGACCAGCAAGAGAGGCTGACATTTCATGCTTCTGATGAAGTAGCCTCTAATGAATGTGTTGTCCTACCACAAGACACTCTCCTGTTTTGAAGAGACTGTTAGCATTCTTTTATCAGTATTATTTGATAAGCATTTAAAAAATTTGATAAACATTTAACAACAACAATGAAGTGAAACTCCTTCCCCTGACACACAAATGCACACCTTCCTATCTATAAACTCTACTGTCCAATATTTTTAATACTGGAGCAGATCCATTTCTTGATTGATTGATTGATTTGACTTGACTTGTATGCTACTCCATTAGTCATAAGCTACTCTCTGGCAGCTCACAACTTATTATAAAACAATTAAACAATACAATGCATAGTACATTTAAACAAATCATGATGTAAAAGCCAACAATAAAGATAAAATCAATAAATAAAAATAGACATAAAACTGAATGATTAATATATTAAACTATTTAAAGTAATTTGAATAAAATAAGCAAAATTAAACTTTTTATTTTATTTTATTAAAGTAAAAATAAAAATGTGGTGCTAAAATCATAATATGGCAGCAGCAAAAGAGCAACATAAGACTATTAAAACCATTGAACCAGATGACTCACCCATTAAAATGGCATCAAAAATAAGAGTTTTTAGTTGCTGTCTAAAAGATGATGCCAACCAGATCTCAGATGAGTGAGATTAACAACTGGGGCACTGCTACAGAGAAGGCCCTTCTCCTTGCCATCTGCCCTTTTACTTTTGTGGGGAGGAATATGGAGAAGGGCCTCAGATGGCAAACTCACTAATCGGGTTGGTACACACGGAGATAGGCGCTCCCTCAAATAGCCTGGCCCCAAGCCCTTTAGCAGGCTTACCTTTTCCAAATGCAGATTGATCCACCGGGTGAACGTCCTTTTCTGCACATTTTCTCTCTCCACTAGAAAGGAAAGAAATGAAATGTGTGAAAGGGCAAGGCTCTATAGAAGGAAGAGCAATGGAATCCAATGGGGATGCTGAACCTCAGGCCCGTGTACCAAATCCGATACACCCAAGGTCTCCAGATGGCCACGCACCATTTCCAGGGTTCTGGTTCTCTCGCCCAGGTGCCAATTTTCAGTGGGCTCGTCCCTTCCAGCTGAAAAGCTGAAATGCTTCTCCTAAGGCTTCAGTAATGCCTATAGCAGCTGTAAGCTAAAATATGCTAGTATTTTTTGTTCCTGGCTATTTCGCCTTCAGCTCCCTGCAGCACTGGAGTGCAGCCCCCAAGACCGTCTCCAAAATGGCTGCAATTCAGCTACAATTACTAATAGTGCCACAGACTTAAAATATGCATTCATACATTCTACCAAAGCAAAGTAAGGAACACAGCCGCAGAAACGACATAAGGCAACCCCTTGCTCCCTCTTCTTTGGAACAAAGTAGACAGACCAAGACATACATGATCACACTGCAAATGTCTTGTTGTTTAAGATGAAATACCATGTGTGCAAAGCAGGTAGACCAATATCAAGGCTGTGGGAAAGGAAGGGTTATTCTCAGTTGAATTATTATCATTATCAAAGGTATTCAGAACCCATTTTTTCACATAAAGTGCTCAGGGAATCTTCCAAAACCAATAAAAATATGTTGAATGTGAGTCAACAATGTGACACGGCTACAAAAAATGCAAACGCTATTTTGAGCTGTATTATTAGAAGTATCACTTCCAAGACACTTGAAATAACAGTTCCCTTCTACTCAGTACTTGTTAGGCTTCATCCTGAGAACTGTATTAAGTTCTGGGCAACACAGTTTAAGAAAGATGTAGACAAACTGGGAAAGCTTCAGAGGAGGGCACAGAGATGACCAAGGACTGGAAACACGGCTCTGTAAGGAGAAATTGAAAGGACGCGGCCTGCTTAGCCTTGAGAAGAGATGACCGAGGGAAGACATGATAGCACTCTTGAAAGTCTGTCACACAGAGGAGGACCAGGATCTCATCTCAGTCAAGTCAGAGTCAAGTCTCTAACAGAGCCTTCCCCACTGTGGTACCTGCCAAATGTGTTGGATTTCAACTCCTACCAGCTCCAGCCAGCATTGCCAATGGTCAGAAATGATGGGAATTGTGATCCAAAACATTTGGGAGTCATCAGACTGCAGAATGCTGCTCCAATGACTATGCCACACTGGTGGTCACATGCATTCATGCTTCCCTTAAGAGCTCTCTGCTTCATCTCTTTTGTAGAACTCCCACTATGAGCTAGTTCAACTTGCATGGCTTGTACAGAGACTCCATAAATGTTATACAGTTCCCATAAACCCAGTGGAACATGTTTTCTTTACACCTACTCTTGTGAAAAGGTACAACTAGAAAATAAAGTAAAAATAAAATTAAATCAAGTCCAGTGTTACTGTTGCTCCTCATATGCATACACTTTACTGAACCTTTGCTGGACTTTTCTGGGCATCTAGAGAGCAGTAACAAGATTATAAGTATCATAATTACACACAACATACGGTTGGGTCTGTTCACAAATCCATGGCACCAAGCCAGAGAGAAGTAACATGAGCTAGATTTTAGTAATATAAGCAGTAAAAGGAAAAGGGTCTGGTTTTGTTTTAACTTATAAGGCTTCAGGCACCATAAAGACAATGGGAACTCAAGATGAGAAATGTCCACCAAGCAAAACAGTATTTCCTCATGAGGTTTCAAGTAAGGGATTTTGGGGGGGGGGGGTGGAGGGAAGAGTCCTAGTATGAAGCATGGTTTGAGGAAGAGTTGTACAATCCACGGGCCTTGGACTAATTTCCTGTGGCCCTGAAACCAATTTCAAAAGCCTTCTGTAAACGACCAGTCTAGACCCTTAGCAAGTATGATCTGACCCTCCTTTGGCAGCCTGCTGGGGGTGGAGGGGTTCTGGAACGGTAACTCTATTAGGCAGCTTATAGAAGCAAATAATCCTCTAAAACATGAAATAAAGGGAAAATGAGGCCAGGTTAAGTCAGTCAGGACATTATAAGAATCAGGAGCATAACCAGTAGTGATTCCAGAATCTTGCTCAGCACTTTGGGCAGAGAGAAATTTCTGACCACATGCAAAGCAGCCAGGTGCCGATTGCTGGAGATTCTGAAGATGACCTCCTCTGGATTGCCCAGAGGCGATTGCTCTGGCATTGCTGTTTGAAAGAAGGTTCTGCAGGCCAGGCCAGGGTTGGGGTCAAGCATAAGTGTGACTGCGAATCTGCTCTGGGCTGACACTCTAGAAGGGTCCCATTGTCCAGGTTCCCCTGGCCCTGTTTCTCTTCTTCATCACTGTAACCTGCTTGCTTATCTCACTGTAACTCACTGCCCTGTCAAACAAAGAAGTGGCAGCAATGAGGAGGAGGCAGCGCAGGAGCAATAGCAGCTGGTGACCACGGTGCTGAGAAGACAGACTTATAGAAGAAGAGGGAGTCCTGCCAGCATGCTCCAAACCCTGGAGCCTGCAATGCTGTAGGCCGATAAAGCCTACGGCCTCTGGCTCCAGGGCAAGGGAGCTGAATTATTATTATTATTATTATTATTATTATTATTATTATTATTATTATTATAACATTTCTATGCTGCCCCTTGCCGAAACCTCGGGGCGGCTTACAACACGATAAAATACAATGAAATACAATAGCACATAATAAATTACCATTAATTACAAAATACAAAAAATATATTGATTTACAAATATAAGATTAAAATTATCAGTATAAATTAAGTAAATAAAAATATAGGAGGAGAAAGAGAAGGAAGAAGAAGTTGCCCTGGCCAGATCATATGTTTTAATAATTAAAATGATTTTTAAATAAAAAGGTCTTTACCTGGCGCCGAAAAACCAGTAACGACGGTGCCAGGCGGACCTCTTTGGGGAGTGAATTCCATAGGTTGGGCGCCACCGCAGAGAAAGCCCTCCTCCGGGTACTTACTCTCCTAATTTCTTTCATGGAGGGTTCCCGGAGAAGGGACTCTCCCGCAGATCTCAAAGGGCGGTCGGGCATATACGGACGTAAGCGCTCGTTCAGGTAGCCAGGACCCAAGCCGTTTAGGGCTTTAGAGGTCATAATCAACACGGGATTTGGTCCAAGAACCCTGGCATCAAGACCCAGATGCCTTCCACTAGGAGAGGTCTTAGGCTAAGGGAATGGCTGTTGTGCAACACCACAACCCATGTAACGGGCACGGAACGTGTGCTTCAGCTGTTCAGTCGAGCTCTGGGTTGCTTGAGGACCTATGAGAGACTTGTCTGGCAAAATGACTTAGGACCAGGCAGTTTTTAAAGACCGCACTGCCCGCTGCAGCCTGCCCAGGCATTAAAATTCCTGGGAGAGGCTCTGCTGTGTGTCCCACCACCACTGGAGGCATCATCGGTGGAAACATGTGAAAGAGTTTTGTTGTGGCTTCAACAACAGCTCCTGGCATTGGGCCTGAGTTTTGCCTCTTGCTAGACTAATCCACCCCACAACCATTTCTGGGAGATATTAACTGAAATAATGAGAAGACAAGCCAATTGGCAGGCATACTCCAGGAAGAATCAAGGTAATCCCTACCACCATCACCCCGACAAGGATTCTGAAAGGTCAAGCGTGTGGCCACTTTTCACATACTGAATGAAGGTAACATGTAGCTGTTAGCACTTGATGGGCTGGCTCTCCAGTCCACTTTGTGAACAGTAAAAACAGATTATGGAGATATTCCCAGGAGGGCCTGAGCCAGGCCAAGAGCAGTGTGGCAAATCAACAAGGTCATTGGGAGTACTTTGTGAGAGCAGACAGATGCTTTCCAGAGCTTTTCAGGTCTGCTGTCAAGTCCACAGTCTGCCACAGAACAAGTGTGATTAGGAGGACAGATTCGGCTCCGTCAAGGCATTTAAAATTGCTGCATGTGGTAGTTGGTCATAAATGAGCTCTCCGTGCGCTCAAAGTCCCATCAGTAGATCGAGTGTGGCTGATTCATGCTACCTTTTGGTGCATTTCAGACTAGGCTATTAACTCTTACTCTCAACTCTGTCTGAAGTCACACAGCAGGTCCAGTGCTTGCATGTTCTCTCTATGCACTCAAGCTCTGGAGCACTTTGAACAGTGTGTGCAACCAAGTAACAATGGGTCATGGGCATTCTAGAGCTCTGGAACACCCCAGCCAACATTCACAGGACATGCCTCTCTCCCTGAGGGTTCAGACCAAGCTGATGGTGAAAGGTAACTTCATCCAAGATAGATGGTATTGTTCAAACCCGACAGCAAAGACCAGATATGGTCTGGCTCTATGGTAGAAGGAAGTCAAAAGCAGGGCTGTACTGCACGGAGGTGGTGGTGGAGTGAAGTTTCAAAACCCATTGCAGGGAAGCTTGAAAAACTTAAACGTTTAAAAAAAGGCAGATGTCACTCATGCCACGCAAACTTCTGCTCTTGACTCCCAGAATACACTTCTTACACCACAGACCTTCAATAAACAGAGGCATCATTTCCAGAAATAGAGAAGCATTCATTTCCCTCTACTCTGCATTAGTCAGACCTCACTTGGAATACAGTATTCAATCTTGGGTACCCAGGTGCCCAAGGGATGCTGAAAATCTAGAGATGGCTCAGAGGAGGGCAACAAAGATGATACGAGGCCTGGAAAATAATGAGAGGCTGAAAGAACTGGGCCTGTCCAGCCTTGAGAAATTAGACTACGAGGTGACACAATACCACGCTACAGATACCTCAAAGGCTGTCACAAAGAAATTAAAGACTTCTCACTCATCCCTGAGTGTAGGACATGGAACAGTGAACTTAAACTACAGTATACCAGGTGCAGGCAAGACACAAGTGAGAGCAGTATGGCTGTGGAACCAGCTGCCAAGAGAGGTTGTGCACTTTTCTACACCAGATGTATTCAAGAAGCAATTGGACAGCTATCTGATTGGGGTGATGTAACTGGCATCCTGCA